CCCACACCTACACCCACACCCATCCACACACCCTTTTCTCTTTCTTATTTATTCACAATTAATCGTAAATGTTCAGAAATATATTATGTAAAATCAGTCTCAAGTTGGAAAACCTATTTTTAGTATATCGATTAATCTTCGTTCGTTTTTCATGTTGGACAGTAATCACCAAGCTGAAAGATTGGCCACCATCTGCCACCACGTATCCAAATTAAATGGCGGAGCAGTATACCATTCTGTAGACAATGTAATTCTCCACAAACCAGTGTAGGTCCGCAAATTCTCAGTCAGTAATTTCATCAGAAATATTTCAAAAACACGAAGCCAACAGTAAGACTAAGACATAAATCTCTCTAAAAATCTAATTATTCAAGTTCCTTTCTGTACCATCAAAAGCGAGTTCGGATGCAGTTTTTTGTGCTCTCTGTAATGGTGTATTTGAAATTGAGTTTCGATACACTTAGACGGAAATAATCTAGATTTATCAAAAATCTCTAGGGCTTGCCGTATATCGAAGTTTTGGGTATTATTTCGCTGTCAACTTGACTTGTATTTTAGTCTATCGTGTTCAGGACGATTTTCTCTTTCGAATGGTATACGATTTTGTTCATTTGAATGTGTAGAAAAGCATATATTGGCAGAAAAGTATAACTGTACGAACAATTTTTTTTGACACCACAACAGTTACGCGCCTTTTGCTTTCATTTGGTTAATGATGAGAGGAAAAGAATTCAGACCTGAAAGTTTGTGCCAATAGACAAGAGACTATGCTGAACACAACGCTGGAAACAGCAACTCTCTATGGCTCTTCCTTATTGAGTGTTTGACGAAAAAGAAAAAACCTGTGTGCTGTACGATCAATTTTTGGAGTCACTGTATATAGACATTTGGAACGGTCTCACGTGTTTCAAACCAAAGTTGCTTGAAAAACGTTTTTTGAAGATAGCACATATTCGGGTCAGAATGTAGGTTATGGAGTTCTGTGGGGGTTCGTAAGGATAAGTTGGGTTGTTTGGATGGAAAATAAGAGGGATTCTGGGTGTTCGTATGGGGGGGGGGGGGGGGGGTCTTTTTTCATATTTGTGGACGGTTGTTTTTCACTATTGGTCGTACAAAGTGGGTGTTCGTGAACATAACTCCCCAAAGTGTGGGTGTTCGTAAGGATGACTTATATGCGATCTTACAAAGTTGGGTGTTCGTGCTGTTCGCGTAAATTACTAATACCCAATTTTCAGAGAGAATAGCAACACGGTCATATGAGCTATATGCACACAACAAGTAAGGAAAGAAAGGAAATAGTAGTAAGAACTTTTTTTTGAATTGGATCTATACATCTTCAAAAAATTTATCAATTCATAACTCTTACACAATATTCTTAACTCAGTTCAGCTTCATTTTTTATTTTTGAAAGATATGTCTAACTCAGTTCATTTAAATCATGAATTGAAAGAAATTGCAGTGAATACGATGATACTGCCCCAAGATTGTAATAAAAATTAGTCGAAGATTATTATACAAAAAAGTATCAACGGATGATAATATGTTATGAAGTAATTTTGTGTAATTAAATGGATGAAAAGAAAAAAGCATCGTTTGGAATGTTGCAAAACATCGACATTTCATTTGATTCGTTAGTGATTTAGCACAAGAATAAATCCAAGAAATAACAATAGATATAAAAAAAAGCGCGTCATATAATTGGTCAGAACAATCACATATAATTTAATATCAGCAAACACTTGCAATAGAATGTACGAAACATTCAATTACAAAGCGAGGTTCTCGTAGGAGCACATTTCGTTCAGCCATGGTGCAACATATACTGTTAAAGCAAAGTGCATATGTTGATAATTGATAGGATAGATGACATTTTATTATCATTTATGGTTAAAGACTATATAATGTTTTCTTTTTTGATAGTTTTCCTAAAACTTCTAAATCGAGTGAAAATGAAACATAAGTTAAGTTTGAAAAAAAGATATCAATATTGGTATTAATTATAATATCCATGAATCAACGGAATTTCTCGATGTTTTTATTGAAAATAATCAAGGTCGATTAAGAACATCTGTTTATCATAAACCAGCTGCTGAACCTTATATCCTTCCATATACATCTGATCATCCACGTCATATACACTCAAATACCATTTATACAGAATTACTTCGTGCAATTCGTCTTTCTTCCAATGTTCAAACATTTGATCAAGAACGGTTAAACACTGAAATTTCTTTAATATTAAATGGATATTCACCAAATTTTATAATCTATCATTTTAAAAAATTCTTTCACAAACATAATGCTTTATCTATATACAAAGAATTAGACAGTGACAAATATCAACAACTACATGAATTGTTACTTGATGAATCAACGAAAGGTAAAACGAATGAAAACCAACAAAATCAATCAAAACCACAACAACAACAGCAACCTCAAACAGAAAAACCCAATGAAAAAGTCCCAATAAAACAAAAACAGCTAATTCTACATTATAGATACGAAAGTGGTCCATTATCAAAATTTAATGGGGAGTTTCGAAAATTATGGGAAAAACATTTCTGTTATGAGAAATCACCATTAAACTCGGTCCGTCTCATACTTGGCACAAGAAGTAATCCGTCACTTGATCGTTTATTGGTGAAGAAGAAACCAGCTAGTTCATTATTGAGACAACTGGATAAAATAAATGAATCTGGAAACAATCCGAAACCAATACCAATGGAAACATAGCAACGTCACTCTAACATTTTCTAATAATATTTCCTTTTTTTTTTGTTATACATTTTTTTCATAGTTCCATAGAATATTTCTTTTCTCTATAAACCTATATTTTTCCAATGTTCAACCAACTTAAACATAAATTCATTCACTATTTTAGATGAATATCATCATTTTACTAATGCAAGCAAAACATCACAAACTTTAAGACAGAGAATTTCTAAACGACAAATCCTTACATATGACCAAATTACGGCAAATTCATCCACATTAAATGCAATACTAATTTTCATTTCATCGATTGGTACATAAATGTGTACGAAGAAGAAGAAGAACTTCCATGGCAATGGGTAATAATCATATGTTACCATTGAATCTCTAATATTTTAAATCTACTTCTTCTACTTCATTGATCTAGATTGACGTCAAAGATCCAGTCGAAAGATGAAGATTAGGTGAAGAAGAAGCAAAATAGGAAGCCAAGTGAGTGGAAATAGAATCATTTTCAACATATAAACAAAACAACAGAACAGATGATCAATCAAATACATCCAAGTCTGTTAAATATCAAAACAAACTTTCTCTCCACTTCACCATCATGCATCTATTCATCTGACTTCCTTTTTCTCGTTTTCATCCAACAAAAATAAATAGCAAAACAGGGAATTAATATTTCATTTCCTTTTTATTATTTTAGATAATTATACTCTTTTTCCTATCCTCATACATACAAACACACACACACACACACACTTATATTGACACAACAATTTGCTGATACAAGAAAATTATCAAATAGTGATTCGATGTGAGTATTTCTTCCATCGTTATATCAAACAATAGAGAACGAATGATTCAAACATGCTTTTGAACTTCTGTTTGTTTTAGAATGACTACAAACAGCACTCAAACTGGTCACATCCCAATAGAATCATTATTAGAAAGTAATACTGATAAAGACTCCAATACTGATCAATTGTTAACGACTGAAATTATCATTATCAGTCAACAACCATTGCTACAATTCAATACGACAAATATGATTCCAAGTCAAATCCCATCGATGCCAAATCGGATGCAATCAATTTCTACTCATATTTCGGAATATGAAAATCTTACAACGGGTCAGTTAGGACGACGACGGCGACGAAGACGACAACGCCAACGAAGACAACAACATCGAGAACAGCATCGGCAACAACAGCACCGACAGCAACAGCACCGGCAACAACGGCGACAACAGCAGCATGGACAACGAACAGAAATACAACAGCAACAACAACAACAAATCAGATATCACCGATACAGACGATGGTCGTCATTTGAACGTGAGGAAGCCTATTGGGAATGGATCGGTCAGTCAGAATATATGGAGGAGAATATCTCACCGGTCCTAGAAACATATAATTGGGAAACAATGCATCCAAATGAAAGACAAGAAATATGGGAACAAAATCATTTAAACGAGTTACAAAGAAATACTACACCAGAACAACAAGATCCATGGGATTATTTAGAAGCATTTGCTGCTCTTGAACATTTAAGATTAATACAGCATGAAATAGAACAAAACCATCAAATTAATGTAATTGAAGAACTGGAAGCAGAGGAACTACAACAGCGACACAATGCCGATCAGATTTAACTACAGCAATGGGAAAAAAATGAATTCGAAGACTATGCTATCGAAGAACAATACAAATTAATACATGATAAAATAGATGACTTACAGCAAATTGATACACATCAAGAACTACAAAAAACAGAATAATACAAGTAACAAAATCAAAAACTCATTGCCTTAACCAACCGGAAACACATTAAATATTTACTTCAACCATTAAATCAAAACAACACTTATCATCACTAACAAATAACTAATCCTTAAATATCCACACTTTAATAAAGATACCGAATCATATATGTCAATAAATTTGATTGTTTTATTTCTCTTTCTATATAAAATAAACTACCATTTCCTTTTTTTGTTTCAGATAATTTTCATCACCACCAATTGCCAAACATCTTTGCTATTATATTAATTTTCATTCAGTAGATATGAACATATATAGTTATTTATTGACTATAGTCATTGTTTATTCTATTTGAAAATTATTTGTGCAACAGTAACATTAATCATTGTATCATACATAGTAATTCAAATGTACCTATAACTCTGAATTACTATTGGTATAATATTATTTAAACCACCTGATGAGTCCTGGCAAAACAGAAACAATCGTTTGTCGTGGAACGCCACTATTTCTACACACCCACACCCACACCCTGTATAATATGGCGTTGATGTGCCTTTTAAAAAAGAGACTTCTACGAAACCGTGACTACGAAACCTTTTTTGGGTTTCGTATGACTGCTTTTTTTCAGTGTAGCTCAGTGGCAGATCCAGAAAAATAGTGAGAGGGTGGCGGCTTATGTAAGGCGGCGATGATCATGGTAAAAAGCTTGCTTTCGAAGTCTATTGAGGAGAGTTTGTCCTATATTTTATCAGTTTTTTCGAGAAAAAATAGGAAACTTAAATTTCTGAGGGGGTGCCGGTCGCCGTATCGCCGAACGCTAGATCCGCCACTGTGGTAGCAAGGCTCACCCTCACCCTAAATTAAATTTCATATTCACAATCATTTCTGCAGAGCAATTTATTTCGAGAATATTGTATATCACAAGAGAGTTCTCCTCAGTTTCAACTCGGTCTATGGCATATACATGCTCGGTCGTACGGTACAGTGGCATAGGGCGTTGCAACCGGTGCATATGAGTGAATCCGATATTTTTCTGATGTCATTGCAGCCTTTACACATGGCATACCCATGAGGCCCATCGATCCAGAATAGTCCACTACGACATTGGCTTTTATAGCATACAACTTCGTCAGCCAGTGTGTGGCCGTTTGCGCATGTGAGTGTTCCTTCAGCTTTGACAGACGATTTCCACTGTGCACGCGTAATTTGGGCGTTCCAGTTACCCTCGATTTCCTTCTGCTTTCCGTAATAGATAGTCTCGAATTCTGACCCATCCGGTTGTACTGATATATTCTTTTTTTCTATGAACTGATTTAGTCGCGATTTATCAATAAACGATTCCCAATGTTCGAAATGGATGTTGTTGTAGATCGGCCGGCAGGGTTCTACCACGGCAGTAGAGGTGGGCAGGGTTACCCTACCCTACCCTACCCTACCCTACCCTGCAGGGTAGGGTAGGGTCAGGGTAAGACTGCTACAGGGTAGGGTAGGGTCAGGGTAAGACTGCTACAGGGTAGAGTAGGGTCAGGGTAAGACTGTTACAGGGTAGGGTAGGGTCAGGGTAAGACCGCTACAGGGTAGGGTAGGGTAGGGTAAGGGTAATAGAATAAAATCGTCTTAATTCCTATTTGTAAATGGGTTATTATTCACTATATTGATATATTCACATGATTATTGAAGAATGATCATATTCGAGTGGCATCTTTCTCGTGTGATTATTCTAGTGGATTGAAAAAGGATTAGTCATTTTACTTGATGATAGGATTAAATCGATAGGAAGGAACATGGTATATTATTCATCATCTTCTCTATCATTGATCTACTGAACTTAGTACTGTGAATCAAGATCGATTTATTAATTATTAGGACCTCTTTTTATTAATTGAATTGAAATAGTAGTATAATTTTCATTGCATTTATGATTACATAAATTCGTTTACTGATTCATTTGAAATAGTATTGTTAATTACAATTAGTTTATCATTTATTCATATTTATTGATTTAGTTGAAATAATATTGTGAATCAAGATCGATTTATTAATTGTTAACATCTCTTTATATTCATTGAAGTGAAATAATAATATAATTTTATTGCATTTATTATTATATAAATTCATTTACTGATTCAATTGAAATAGTATTGTTAATTACAATTAATTTATCATTTATTCATATTTATTGATTTACTTGAAATAGTATTGTGATTTCGATTGATTTATTATTCATTCATATTTATTTATTGATTTATTTGGAATAGTATTGTGATTTACAATTGATTTTGTATTTATTTGTACTTATTTACTGATTTGCTTAAAATAATATTGTGAATAGGAGTTAATTTTTATTTATTTATATTGATTTGTTGAGATAATTGATTGAATATTGTAACTTGTAATCTATTTATTGTGCATTTATAATATGTCAAATAAATTATCAAAAAGTCAATTGGCGATGAAAAATTTCAAAAAGATGATATCAGCACAAATAAATGAAAAAGTTTACTCAACTTCACGACATATCAACTTTTCTTCATCCTATCACAAAAAATCTTCTTAGTAAGTGTTATACGCGAAAAAATATTTAACTTTTACACATGTGCTTGTTATACTTAATCCATTTAGTCATATAGTCAAGAAGAACGAAATAATGTTTATAAATCTACAAGGGATATGATGAAAACAATCAACATCATTGAACCATATGAAATACGAAAACAACTTCCTGCAAAAGCTATTAGTGATACACCACGAAAACATAAGAAAAAAATAAAAAAAGATGATTTTTTACAACATGATGTAATGATGGAATTCGCTCAACAAAATCAATCTCATTTAATGAAGAGGAAGATGATGATGAAGTTGATCGCTATGTTAAATCGAAAGTAATAATCAGTGATGAAGAATCCGTATTAAGCTAGTGGAAAAAGAGGCAATAACGTATCCAAAACTTAGTATTCTTGCCAGATCATTATTTGGTATACCAGCTACTTCATGTACCAGTGAAAGAATATTTAGTGCAAGTGGTCGGATTCTTGAAGAACGATGACAAAGCTTAAATGACGACATTGTTGATGACATATTGTTTATTAGAAATTTCAGAGGAGTTATAAATTAATATGCTGTAATGAAAAATAAAATGAATCAGGAAAAAGTGACACTATTCTGTAACTTATCGTTTTTTAGAATCTTTTGGATGGTGAAAGAACGAAGAACAATAAGAAAACTATAGGGTAGCAGGGTAGGGCAAGGGTACAGACTCTACAGGGTAGGGTAGGGGCAGGGTACGGATGCAGCAGGGTAGGGTAGGGGAAGGGTACGAATGAAGCAGGGTAGGGTAGGGGAAGGGTACGAATGCAACAGGGTAGGGTAGGGCACGGGTGTGAGAAATTTGCCCACACAGGG